TTGTGAAATTAAAATTTTGACTCACAAAAGCGACTTTTGACACAAATTTCATAGTTTTCTGAACTTTGGTGAATTTTTAAAATTAAACGACTTGCCGTAGGCCTGTAATATTTTAGTATGATTTAGAAGACTATATTGTATCTACATAAAGAGTTTCATCAAAAAAAAATTCAACAGTCGTCTTAAAGAAACGGCTCGACTATCGTCACACAAGGAGGAACGATAGTCCTGAGTTGGTTTTCGAATTTTTGAAATCGATTCAGCAGTTTTAGAGAAAACGTCGATAAAAGCTGTAATTATGAGAAACGTAAAAATATCCAGGCATTTTTTCAAACTTTAATGAATTTTTAAAATATTAATCTTCTTGTCGTAGAGCCATAATATTATAATATGATCTACAAAAACATAATATCTTTTGTCAAAAACGTTTCATAAAAATCGTCAACAAAATTTTTCAACGGTGAATTAAAAGGAAACTGCCCGGCTGATTTTTATCAAAAACTAACCAGCACAATTACCAATCAATATTTTTCGACCGATTTTTGAATTTTTGAACAAAATCGAATGAAAACAACAGGCTAAAACGTGGACAAAACATTTTCACTTTTCTGCCATTTACAAAAAAACGGCTTGACTGATCGACGTGCAAAATGTACTTATCGACTTACATGGAATGGCTTTTGAATTTTTGAAATCGGCCCAGTTTTGTCAAAAATCGGCTCACACACACACATGTATACTTTTTCCAAATTCGGTCTCATTCGATTCAGAATGACTAGCAACGCCGAGAAAACATAAAATTAGGCAAAAAAATCATGTTTTCTTTAGAGAAGTTAAAAACTATTTTCCAACAATTTTCTATGCAGAAGTTTTAATTGAGAGACTTAGTGCAGTGAAAGATTTGTGGCATTACTAAATCCGATGCCATACGCAATTTTAATATAATCATTATATTATATAATTATAAGAAGAATCGGGATATTTATATAAGCATAGTAGTAGCTAGTTCTTTATAGAATATTGAGTCATCCATAGTGTTATGTGCCAATACCTTCATATCTAACACTTTTATCTACGCTCTATGGACTCTACCATCCCTCTATGGGGTACCTGTACTACAATCCTTCAGGATTTAGATTTTGCTCTATATATGAGCTTTTTATGGTATCTATAATTCCGGCTCGGATGGAGCCACTAGGATGATCAAGCCTCCATTCTCTTCCTAACTTTCGTGGCATACAATTTAACTCAAAATCATATATTAAATATAATTATCAGTTGCTTTAAAATAGATCTTTGAATGTGAAAATTTATTAATTCTTTAATTACCTCAATCGCCAATCGCCAATAGAGCATGTGAGTTGAACGGAAACCTAAAACGTGCTATAGCAGTGCCGCGTTATAGGACAGTTTATTGTATTTAACACTAAATCTTTTACATCGATCTATGAGTCATTATGATTATTATCGGAAGTCCTATCGTCCCGTTAAAATATTACATATATAATTTGGCGAACAATAAGTCTGGGCCGAGAGAGCGCGCATGCCGTCCGTCGGTCTCAAGGGCAGACAGGCGAGCGTTGCCGTTGCCGTTGTCCGTATCATAAAATCAGCGTCTAGCCTCTTCCTTCACAAATATTTATGCACTTCGTGTGAGAGACCAACATTTACATTGACTGATATACTGATATTGAGATATTGAAATATTGAGATACAAACATGTGCCGAATCATCGACACGTGAATACAGATACACGTGCTCGAGATTTGCACAGGTACAGGAAATTCACTTTTTGTAGTTGGAGGTAAACGACTGCATATGGACGAGAACGCACGTTGATTTTCAAAATATAAACTTCTCACCAGGGAAGACTTTTATTTGGAATTGTTCAAGCCTCACAAATTTTATTTATCTATCTTTGTCTACCTTATTTCCTACTCTACTCTAGGTACTAAGATGGTTATAAGAAATTATTCATTCTGTATCAAACAAATAAATACTATTAATAACTAAACCAGCTTATTTAACTTACTTATTTTTAAGTGTCTGATATAGCCATTCTAATGATAAATTATATCTGGTCCTTCTAGGTAGTAAAGTTGTCGTGTGTAGTGATTTTTTAATTGACTTTTTTAATAAACATTGCGCCGGGCGCTTATAGGAATATTATGAAGCTTTTTTTTAAATTTTATTCTGCAATCTGTATATATATAATTACATTATTCAAAGAATGCTAAAAAGTTGTTTAAAATTAATTGTTTACAAATTAGTGGCGTATCTACTAGATTAGCTCTAGGATACTAGTGCATCGTGCCTTAAGGCAAATTGCGGAACTTCCCGTACCGTAACGGAATGTTCGAGGAATACTGAATGTTTTCAAATAGATTATTATTAATATTGTAACATTGTCTAATATTTATAAGAATTATATAAACTGAATTGCAAAGTTGAAATTATTTGTTTAATGTATATTAGAACTTTAGTCAGAATTAAAATTAAAATCTGAATTATTTTCGATATACAAAAAAAAATTTTTTTGAAAAAAAAAATTTAAAAAAAAATTTTGAAACAAAATTTTTTTTTCTGAAATCAATTATTTTGTTAGGTCAAGCAAAAAGTTCTCTGGATCATTTAAATCGGACGCTTATTATTATTATTAGTTCTCTCAAAAACTGCCATTTTTTACACATTTAGCTTCGTATCTCCGAAACCGCTGGGCCTACCTTTGCCAAAAACTAATAACCACTTCTCTCAATAATGACTAATTGAATATTTTTCAGATCATTCAAATCGGATGCTTCGTTCTCTCAATCAAACTCGATTTCTATTTTCTGCACTCTTTTCTCTTTATCTCCGTAAGGGCTGGACCTGCCTTTGTCAAAAATTTAGCAACACGTATTCCCAAAAGGAATCGAATGAATTTTTGAATCATTTAAATCGGTTGATCCGTGCTCCTGAAATCATCGACGAAAATTTGTATCTCACACATTTTTTCTAATTGTAAGGTAAAGATAGATAAAAATTTTCATTTTTTATTTTTGGACAATTACTATCTTACCCTACGGGAATTTAAAAATATTGATTTTTGATTTATTTCATCAAGTGAAAATTTTCAAAAAAAAAATTATTGGGTTTATAAACGTAGTTACTTCTTTTCTATTCATCAATATTTTTATAATTATTTTAATAATGTCTAAGGAAAAGAAGTGTATATGTTGTTCTATCAAGTTTTAGGCCGACTTTTTTCTTTATTTCACTTAACGTACAAAATTTAATTTATATATATATATATATATATATATATAATATATTTTTAATTACAAGAAATAATTGTTCGCAATTATATTTCTATTCGAACCTACCACTATTTTTATAAATATTTTAATATACTTTTGTATATATTTTTTCTTGAATCAGAATCCCTCTACTGAAAAGCAATAAATATTTTTGTTTCATAATTTCTAGGCTGAACTCTAATTTTATCTCATCTATTACTTATACTTCAATTAGGAGAATTTAATTAGGAGAGATTTTTATTTTCATCCAGGTTCACGATTTTACTGATATTGTGCATAAACATACATAACATTACATGCATATGTAAGATTTTCTTCTGTAACGAAAAGTAGCAAACATTTTGCTCCAATAAAATCCAGACAGACCTTTAACTTTATCTCACACACACACATATATATATATATATATATATATATATATATATATATATTCATCTATCAAATCTAACCCAAGGCTCGCATTCCGACATTTTATCAAAACACTATATATTACATTCGTTGCATAACGTAATTAATTTTATTGTAATTAACACTAATAATTTGTTGTTTTGTTGACTTAAGGGTCAAAGTTAAAGTGTTGAAAATAACACCGCATTATCACAAAATCATCATATCGTAAATAAGATTACAAAGTTTTTTCATTGGTTATTTTTAGACTTTTTAATAAGGTTTTTTGTGAAGTCATAAATCGTATTTGGAGCAAAATGATAATAATAGCTATTGCATTAGATTTTAGTAAAAAATAAAGGATAATTAAAATTAGCTAGGGAATCTAACATGGTAATTTTTGTTTTATTGGGGGACGTCCACTAATCACGTGGTCGATTTTTTAAGGGTTTTTTTTACCTTTTTATATTCAAAATTAAGGCCCCCACCCCTCCCACACCAAACATCACTTGTATTTTTATATACGAGAGAAATAATTTTTTTATTTTTATTTTTTTTGAAAATGTTTGAATTTTTAAACAAAAATCAGGTGAAAATTAAATACACCTGATACCTTTCTATATCGCTTCCTCCCCCACAGGACATTTTGTCAAACCCTCCCTCCTCCTAAAAGACCAAATTTGAAAAAAATTGTCTAGAGTCGATTTTTGACAATTTTTTCGACTTCTAAATTTTATTCATTTTTATGTAGTTTTAATTCGTTTACAAAGGAAGGTTTTACCTGAAAATTGCATTAGATTTAGTCTGAAGGGGTCTAAAATTCTTTATTACATATACAGTTCTTAAATTATAATTTATTTTAACTGCTCATATTATACGAATTCATTTTTTTTAAATATACAAGCTTTATTGTCAATTAAAATTACAATTTCCTACCAAAGAAAATGTTTTGTATAAAAATGAAAATCTTTGAGAAAAAATGTAGTAAGCAAATTTATTTAAAAAAATTGTTGAAAATGTTCTAAAATTCTCTATAACATTAACAGTTCTCAAATTATAATTTATTTTAACTGCTCATATTATACAAATTCAATTTTTTTTAAATATACAAGCTTTATTGTCAATTAAAAATACAATTTCTAAGCAAAGAAAAAAAAATGGAAATGAAAATGAAATGAATTGTGTAAAAATGAAAATATTTGAGAAAAAATGTAGTAAGCGGATTTTCTTCATAATTATCTAATTATTATAGAAAAAATTCACTGAGCAGATTTAATTTATAATAAAAAAAATATTCAAATGAAAACTTTTTACATATTAATTGAATTTGTCCATGCCCTTTTCAACTTCCACACCTTCCCAATGCTTTTTGGTAATTTTGCTGAAAAATCTGTAAATATTTAAAAAATTAATAACACAAAAACATGTTTATATAAAATGAATATCTTTTATCCTCCATATATAAAAAATTAGCATATAATAGTTAAATGCATCATTTCTAAAAAATCGTGCATCATTTCGACAAGATACTTCAGCATTACAAATTAAGCTTTTTTCAACAAGAAATAATACACATTAATAATAAAATCAAATACATTAATAATAAAATCAAATACAATAATAAAATTAATAATTTTTACAATAATTCAATTATAAAAAATAAATCTTATGTATGAACTGTACTTTAATTTTGTATCATATTTAAATTTGTTGATAAATTATTGAATTTACCAAAATTTGTTCTGCTGAAAGTTGAATTTGTGGGAAATATTTCTTAGAAATTATTTTTTTAAGGAATGCTCATTCAATAAAAAAAATTCTTACTAATTGAAAAATACACATTTTTTGTATAAATTAAATTCATAAGACTTGTATCCCTTTTAAAAATGTGGTCTACTTCGTCAATATTTTCTATTGATAAATTTGCTGAAGCATCGAAATTAAACAAAATATGGACAGTTTTTAGACGAATTTTTTTTTCATACCTTTCTTTGATTTCTTTTAAAATTTCAGAATCTTTTTTACTACATCCTTCCTGGACAACTTTTAAGTTATCATTTAGCAAAGTCCTAGTATTCATGCCGACTAAATGAGTAGCAATTTCTAAATCTTGGGAAGAAGTCACTGCATGTAACATTGCTAATTTTCCTAATTCACAATTATTTTTCTAAAAAAAAATCAATTTTTTTTAATTGCTATATTTGTTACAACTGTTAAATAATTTAAGATCTAAGTAACAATAATGAACAATAACATAAATTTAAATAAGAGTACAAAAGGTAGGATAGTATTTTCATTAAAATGATATCCGTAGTATGATGATTTAATATAAAATAAAAGCAAATAATAATAATAATGAAATTAATAAATAAAATAAAAGACATCAAATATAGAATATAATAATATAATTTTGTCATATCCTAATTCATTATGTATTATTTTTATTTTTTTACCTCGCAATACTCAGCAGCTTCTTTGCAAATTTTTTTGGTTTCTTCTTGGGCTGGATGCCAAGAAGGAGGTCCTTTGTTTGTTAAAAGACCCATACTGGGTGCTGAGGCACATACTATACCAATATCATATTTCTGAAAAGAAAACATAAAATACACCAAATAGTGATATACTTAATAAAATAAAATAACCGAAAATCACTGGTGGGAGTTTTGAAGAAACTCAAAAAAAAATATTTATTGTACATATAATAAGCAAAAGTATTTAAAATTGGTAAATTCAATAAAACAAAATTTCTATAACCAATACTTAATACGATAAATAATTGACAAAACAGAATTAATATTGTTATAATACTATTAATTTTAATTTTTCAAAGTTATAGCTTCTTAAGTGGGGTACGACTTAAGAAGCCTAAGAATATTAACACTTCGCTTTTTAGTGCAACTAAATTGAAAAATAAAATCTGTGGACGTTTACTGTTACTTCATTCTATTGGCTTATAATTAATAATTAATTTTTTATTTTTATTTATTATTTTGTCAACCAAGACTTATATAGTCCTATAATACACAACTGTTTGCTTAGGTAATAAAAAGAACAATCAAATAAAGTATTCAATATACATATTAAGTAACAAAAATTGAGAAACTAATGGAAAATAATAATATGATGTAAGAAATAAAAAATATATATGAAAAAAAAAATATTAATTACTCTTTTTTTTCATTAAAATGAGTATTTTTACGGTTTTCAGAAATGTCTTTGCTATTTCATATTTAGTCGCCTAAATCGTACCTCCCTTAGCCTTAGTAGTATCTACTACAAAAAAGATGTATCTCAAACACAACAATCAAAATATATATGTTATATAATTTATCTAAAACTATGTTTTTTAATCATCCAATCCGCATTCCTATTATTTATCATCATCCAAATTCTATATTTATTTGTTTGTGTTTTTTGCCAATAAATTTTTCAATGCGGTGAAAGGCTAAATATTAAAACTCAAAAACAGCATTCTTCTAATCTAGTTTTTGGAATATTTATTTGGCGCCAGTATTTGCAAATGTTTATTAGTCTTGCTAATTTTTTGTTAATAATTTAACATATTTACAAAATTTTATGCGTAAATTACGCGTGTAGATGTAGATTGTGCGTAGAAATGCGTATCGAAAACTAGAATTTTTAGTTAAAATATTAACAAATTCTTTAGAAATAAATTGATAATTCAATTATTATTAAATATTTTATTATGGTCTGTGTTAAATCATCATAAGTAAATAGAATTAAAGAAATGATAAATAATAAATTGAATAATAAAAATAATAATTTATCTTAATGTTTAAATACTGTGCAGGAAAGTTAAACAGCTTTTTAAAAATTTCTGCGTAGAAATAAGCATCGAAAGCTAGAATTTTTAGTTAAAATATTAACAAATTCTTTCAAAATAAATTGATAATTCAATTTATCCAATATTTCATTATGGCTTATGTTAAATCATCACAAATAAATATAAGTAATTAACAAAATGATATTTAAAATGCAATTGACCTAAGATCACATGCTGAAACTTACTGAATAAAGAAATAAATTATCTTAAAATAATAACAATATATAAAAACGAGCAAAATAGAATCTTGTGAAAATATTTAAATGTTAAATTTCAGAAGCTAAAATTTGCAAACTAATATTTTGATGACTAGAATCGCAGGAAATAATTTTTTCAAAAATATTGGTTTTGCCAATATTGGTCTTATTATATTAATATTATATAAAAGTATAAATAGCCAGAATTAAAAATAGATGTCCTTTTTTTCACTGAACGTGATTATGAAATTTTTTATGGAAATTTTATCAATTTTACACCATTTAGTCACTTTATAAAATTTATTAACAAATTCCGCCAAAAAAATGAGTTGTTCAAAATGTTTTTGTATAAAATTAATTAAAATTTTATTCAAATCTTTATTGGGCAAATAAATTTAAATATTTGTAGCCCAAGTATTTGTTTCAAAAATAATTTCAAATTTCAATCATTATTTATGAAAATTTAAAAATTGAAAAATACACTCCTAAAAGACTCTCCTAAATATTTTTTCCAAAAAAATGTCTTTTGGTATATCTAAAATAATTCGGATTTGAATTTTAATTCGGGCTATTTATTCTTTTATTATATAAATATATAATACATTACAATAAATTTCTAATTATCACCTTTAACGTGGGCATTACTTCCATCAAAGAATCGTCGACCAATGTGAATCTGCAATATGTCAAAATCATTTCCAAAGGTTTTCCCAATTTGGAGGCACCTTGTATCAAATCCAAAAGTGGTGTCAGGGCGTAGCCAGTGGCGCCCAAATGTTTGGCACGACCCCCTTTTAGGGCGTAGTCCAAAAGCGTAGGCAAAGTTTCGTTTAGCAAATAATTGGTCGATGGGGCGAATTCTATATCATGAATCTAGAATTTGAAAAAAGTTTTATTCAGAATTATAATTGTATTATTTAAGGGGCACAACTAGTGTGAAAATTTCAAAAAATCGAATTTTCAAATTTTCCATATTTCGATAGGTTATACCTTTAAAAATAACATACCAAAATTTTAAATCGATTTCTTAAATAGTTTTTGAGTCACAGCCATTTAAAGAGTATATAGTAGTATATAGTATAACGATCATTTAATCTTTAAACGCGTTATTCTCGAAACAGCATTTCCCGAATTTGCTGCAGCGATTACTCAAAAACAAATGATCCGATCACAATCATTTTTTTTTTACATATTCTATATACAGTTCTCCGTAAAATGACTTATTAATTTTTTGATCGGAATAAAAATCGAATTTTGGCAGGCCAAAAACGACCAAAATTTTGAGTAAAATTCGACTTTTCATAAAAAAACGCCGTCATTTTGTCAATTTTTGATTTTTTTTTCTTTATCGTAGTTCATTTTACAGACAATATTATCTAGTTTAATGAGATTTTTTTTTTAAATTTCATCCACCTGGAAGGCAGGAATCACTGCAGCAGTGAAGGGCCTATTTTTGTCGCGCCGTTGGAGATCGACGATAACTTAAAAAATATTTAATTTTTTTTTTCAAAAATTTTACTATGTATTCTTAAAACATGTATAAATATATTCCTAAAATTTTGAAATGATTGATGAAGTAGTTTTTTTAATATAAATTCCCAAAAATCACCTTTTTTTTTAAGCGGTTACACTAGTTGTGCCTCTTAAATACACAATTACACTGATAGGTAAATTGACCATTCTTTCAATTTGAAAAGAATTTGCTTATTTTTAGATATTTTTCTTCGAAGAATTTTTCAACCATTACTTATTAATTACCTCAATGCAAAAAATCTGCAAATGTGCCATGGGCCAATTAATCTTATTTTTTCACATTTTTGTATTTTATTAGTTAGTATATTTTTTCTTCTCATTTTTCCTTAAATTCTTAAAAGTCTACTGATCAATCAACTAGTCAATATATATCCACTAATAAACACTATATATCCAATTTTATCATTTTCAGAAAATATATGAAAGAATTTCTTAATATTTTTCATTTATGATACATAATAAATTTAATTGTCGTACTGTAGTCTTTCAGACTTTTTTTTAGACAATTCACTACATTCTCAAAAACTTTACTTGTCCAGATCGTTTTTAGACTTGGGGTTTATAACGTTTCCAAATAATTTATAGCATTTTCTAAAAACATTTTCAGATAATTTACAGCATTTCCAGATTATACTTTAAAGCAATTTACAATATTGTCAGACATATTTAAATTTTTATGTAATAATTAAATTTATTATGTGATTACATTATGCAATTTTCAGACACTTCAATAAAAAGTATTATTAGCTGGCGCTTATTTAAATAATTAAATCATCAAAAAATTAATATATTGCATATTTAAAAATCATCATTGAAAATATTTCAAATTTGAAAATCATTCTGACACATCATATAGCAAGAATTCGTGGTAATAAAAATTAACAAAAAAGATCGATTTACATAGCAATGCAATTTTGCAGTCTAATTAATAAATTATTGATAACCGAATAGAATTTTTTCTTTTGCAAAAAATGTGATATCAATTACTCTAAATTGTTGTAATTACTTGTAATATATAGTATTATTAAGAAGATTACATTATCACAGAATACAACATAATAATAATAGTAAGATCTATGAATATTCATTTCATGATTTGCAAAAATTGTTACAGATGTTGAATTATTAATCATATTAGTCATTCATGCCACGAGTATTAAGAAAAAACTAATAATTATTCTTAATTAGAGAGAAAAATAATAATTAGGTTTTATTTATACTAAATATTATGATATCATCAATGAGTTTTGATCAGAATTTTATTCCTATACGAGGCGAGATTATAAAATTTAATTTTGAATTTTTGATCCAACAAGGTTGATTTAATTCTTTGACGAAAAATAAAATTAAAAAATCTGTGAATTATCTGAAAAATTTGTAGGTTGTCCGAAAATAATGTCTATAAATGATTATAAAGATGGTGTAAATTATCTGAAAATAATGTAAATTTTTTTAAAATATGTTTCATTTCTGAAAATGCTGTAAACTGTTTGAAATATGTTGCAATTTGTCTCAAAGTGTTAGAATATGTCTGGCAATATTGTAAATTGCTTTAAAGTATTGTCTAAAAATGCTGTAAATTATCTAAAAAAGTTGTTTTAAAATGCTATAAATTATTTATTTAGATATGTTATATTATAAATTGCCTGAAAACGTTTTGAATCATCTGAAGTTTTTGAAAATGTAGTGAATTGTCTAAAAAAGTCTGAAAGATTACAGTGCAAAATTTGAATTTATTATGTATCATGATATTAGAAGATATTAGGATTTTTTTTATATATTTTAAGGATTTAAAATAATTTTGTTATACCTGTAATACGTCCACATAATTGACTCCCAAAAGTTTCAAACTGGTATCGATGCTCGTCCTTGTCTTTTCTGGTGAAAAATCGAACATTTTGGCAGGATCCAATTCGTAACGACCAATTTTAGTTGCTATATAAAATAGGCTTTTCTAGGAATTCCTTTCAATGCCTTAAAATACATATAAAAAATTAGAAAGACTCACAAAAAAATGTGTAATTAATATTTAGTTACCTTGCCAATAATTTCTTCGGATTTACCTTGGCCGTACCATGGTGCAGTATCTATGTAGTTGATGCCTTTTCTAATGCCTTCTCTGATAGTTTCAATAGCCTCAATTTCATCGTAATCTCTAAAATAACTAGGTGTAAGTGGTATTTTTCCTTAAAGCAGATTGCATGAACTTCCCGATATAAATAATCGGCTTAAATAATAAGAATTCAAAATAACTATTTATATAAAAACGCATGTTTTTTTTTAAAACCGAATTGATTTTATTAAAAACTAAAGTGACTTATAATATTTATAATTATCCTAATAGTAGTGCTCATTTGACTCGAACTTCAATGAATTTTTATTATTCAACTGTTCATATATTATTTCAAAATGTTTGTGTAGGCACTGAAATCTATCGTCGAATTAAATTTCATCAAAACAAAATTTCAACGTAGATATCTTTTGAACAGTTTTTAAATTTCCAAAACCGGTTCCGGATTTTTGCGAAAACATGGACGAACATTCAGGCACTTTTGAGCTAATTTAAAGAAACGCTTATCCTTTCATCTTGCAAAATTGATCAATGATTTTCTGAACTGAGTTTCATCAAATGGTTTTAACATCGGCAAATCGGCCGAATTTTCTGGCAAAAACAAAAATTTCATCTTCGAGAAGTTAAAAATTAAAATGTGCTGACTTAAAATGATACATTACATTCAGTCAATTGTATTAAAATATATATATCTTTATGTTTCAAAAGAACATTTTGGCATACCTTAGAAAAATGTGATGTGCGTTGTATGTATGTGCGGACATAATTTATTGTTGACGTTTTGGAGAGCACGGATCAACCGATTTTTATATTTATGTTATGAGTAAATCTACTCATATTCTAATATTTTTCAAAGAATATATGTTATATTTTACCTTCCCTTCAGACATATATTTCCTATAGACACAAACAAAGTGTGATCACATTATTAAAATCTCTATAAAATATCTGATAATGTAATTGACCGACAAATGACATTTTTTTTAAATTATTTTTATTGAGAGTCCATAACCGCTGGACCTGCCTTTCTAAAAATATAATCAGTTTTTCATCTTGTCAATACAAGTAAAATGTTTTTTGAATTATTAAAATCGGACGTTTCGTTCTCCTAAAAACTGAGTTACCATTTTTCGCACTTTTTGTCCCGTATCTTCGGAACGGCTAGACCTGCCTTTGTCAAAAACTAATCAGCACGTCTCCTTATCAATACGAATCGAATGTTTTTTGAATTATCCCGTTCATTTTTTCTAAGATATGCCAAAATTTTTAGAAATCCTTGAAACGTGAAGATATACTCGTATATAAAATTTTCATTTTCGATTTTTTTGCGATTACTATAACTTACCATACGGGAAGTTAAAAAAATGTCATTTGACGGCTAAAAATGAACATTAGACATATGTACATCGTATTATCAGATATTATATGAAGATTATAAAAATAAGTACAAATTTTGTGTACATTTAAATGGGTTCCGTACCAACGTTTACACGTTAGACGACTACACGGCGCTTACGCGCTTTGATATTTCGACTCCAAATCACCTAAGCAGCGTGATTGCTTTAAAAAATGTTCAGAATTTTCAAAAAAAAAATCCAATTTTTTAAAAATGTAAATTTTTTACAAAAATTTTCAAAATTCTCAAAAATCCAATTATTTCAAAGTTTAGCAAAGTTTTTTTTTAATTTAGTTTTTTTATGCACTACTAGTCTTTATTTATTACCCGTATAAAGCTGCACCGCCAAATGCACCGCCACCTAATGACAATTCCGACAAATAGAGTTCCGTTGTCCCAACCGTTTGTAACGCATCTTCTTTACCGATTCCAAGTCATGGAAACCTTCGACATATGTAGCCGGCAATTCTGTCAATTCCATCATAATATTACCTGAAAAAATAAAAATACTTGAACATACATATAAATTACCGTGGATGATGTCGGGAATTCAAAAGTTAATATAAAACAAAATGGGTGATATTTAGTTCTTTTCAGATACAGAAGAATTATTCTATATTCCGACTTGTTTAATAATATCATAGAATTTCACTTTTTTAGTTCCAGTTAAATAAAATTAAATTAGTACGTGTGCATATCAATATAATGTATATAAATATATACCTTTTATTTGCGGCTAAATGTAGTCACTGACAAGTATTTTTTCGGAGACAATAACAAGACTGATAATATAAAATCTGTGATTCTTTGAAATTGTACTGTGAAATTGACATATAAGATTATTTTATCACAAGATATTCAGGCGCATTTGCAGACCACATTTTTGTGATTTAATCGGTTAGAGCACGAGCAACCTTTCTAATACAAGGGCCACATTTAAATTTTAAATTTTTTACTAAAAATTTCCGAAGCTCGATACATTATAATATGAAAAATATAAAATTTAAAAAAGGTTAATACAAATTTCATAAATTAATGCAACAAAAAAACATACATTATATATAATTAATTTATTGATCTGAGAGAGTTGATAAAATGAATAAAACTCTATTTTAGAAATGCTTGGAGGGTCACTGAAAATTATTTAAAGGGACACTAATTGTAAGAGTCGTTAGAGCATAGATATCCAAACTTTTCTATACTATAAAGTTTCTATAATGTTTTTTGGTTTGCGATGATGCCCTAAATATCTGGTAATAATTTTTTGTAATGTTCTACTTCTACTCAAAAATCGTATTAAAAACACTGTTGAGTTATACATTTATTAAGTTAATTTAAAATAACAACTAGTGGTGTATGGCATCGTGCCTTGAGTCAAATTG